AATCGACTCGTTCAATCGACTATTTGTGCTGCTTAGTAACAAAGTAGATATGAGGCAATTTTCTCGTTTTCCGCATAACTGCGACAGGAATGCTTAAACGGGAGATTTAATATTCTAGAATAGTAGAGAACTGGCTGACACCCGTCAACAAACCTATCACAAGACTGGTATCTTTATGGGGCATCACAATTAGATTGCTGGATTTTTTCATAATAGAATGTGGCCAACTTGTATACAAATACCCGCATGTTGTTGAGTCTTCCCACCTTATATTGAAATATTTAATACAGAAAGATTTGTACAACCGACATTTGTCATAGGCGAATTATTTTTCAAAAACGTTAGATATCTCTAACCATAATTAGCGGACAAAAGTTAATTGTTGCTTTAAGAATTTTTTATTTTCAGTTTTAGTTTTATCAGTTTTATTCAATATGTTTAATTTCAATAATATTAATGAGCCGGCCATCATCATTCGAAGAATTTTGAACCTTTTAATATTTTTATGTTGACCAATATTCATGAAGCCAGCATTTCAGGAATTCTTGAATTCATGGACCAAGCATTACCTAAACTTAAACCATTTCGCTACTAAGCATTTATATATTTAGGAATTTATTATTTTTGTGTTAAATATGTAAAACAACATTAACAAAGCTATTAATATTTTCCAACTATTTCAGGACGTTTCTCTGGATTCAGCATTTATAATGCAATATGAGAAGAAAAAAGAAATTCTAACGTCAGAATTGAAGCGCTGGCGCGATAAATGGTACTTGGCTGTCAGAGAGTTAAACAGAACAAAAAAAGAATTAAAAAACACAGGTTACGATTTTCCTTCACGTTTAATGCTACAAGAACAAAACCTAGTGATTGAAAATTCTAAACTCAAAAACCACACGGATCACTACAAACGTCTTAATATAGAATTTTTTTCTGACACAAATCAACGCAATAATATTATAATGACATGTTTTACATTCATACAAGATATGTACAATGATTTGTCTGCGAATAATGATATCAATCCTAACAGGGAACAAAGCTTCCAACGTTTTAATCAAATTATTAAATCTAAGAGTACATCTTTTCTAGACGATAAAAATTGGAATGCAATGAAGAGTATTCGAAATAATGAGAACAAACATGCTTTGCCTGCTGATGACGATTCTCCCGGATCCAGTACGTCAAAGCGACCACGACAAATATTTGATAATTTTGACATCAATTTCAATGAACTCGAAGAAAAAATGGAAACTTCAGACGATGACGACATGTACAGTTCAAATAAAGTATTTAAGACACCTTTGGCAGTTTCACAAAATCCGAATGAAACGCGTATTATAAAAAAATCAGTTGAAGAAGAACAAGATGGAACTCAAATTATAACAAATACGGTAACCTCCAAGGTAAAACCTTTATTCCAAACTTTAAAACCCGCAGTAACAGCGAAAAAGAATTTGGTAACTAATATATTATCAGAAAAAATAGTTCAAGTTCCACAAAATAAAGAGCACGTAAAAAATGGTGAGTGAATATAACTCATATTTATATTATAATTAATATTATTAAATTATGCGTAAATTACAGTTCTTCTAAAATCGAAAAATTTTAATCAAGGGCTTCTCAAGACTGCCATAGGTGGTACTCTAAAAGAAAATAAAAAATATAGTCCATCCCGTGTCCGAAAGAGTCCACGAACTATTGTATCGAAAGGTAAATATAATTTAAATTTAAATATATATATAAAATTTATTAAAATGATAAATTTTTTCGATTTCTATAGTTGCCAATACTGCGAATTTTGCTAAACGACAACCACCACGAAATGTCCCTGGAATGGCGGAACCCAATGTAAGAATTAATCGCGCCGCCTCATTTCGCGTTAAAAAGCACTAAAACGTATGGTGTTCTCAACACATTAAACTAAAATTTTAAGTTTTTTTATTTTTCTCACTTTTACTAAATTCTAAATGTATATTTGATTTTAAAGTTTTTTTTTCTTTTTTTTTTATACCATATAAAATAAACTTTTTTAAATAATATGTAAAAATTATGATATTTGTTATATAGTCGTCTCTATAGTCTAATATAATTATACATATTTTATTTACGTTTATAAATATTTATAAAATATGGATGTTGTTTAACATCTTCAAACCATCCATTACGAAAACCGCTGATAGTATTTGTAATATCTTCGCGTGAAGGCAATAAGCGATTTATTAAATTAAGTACTCCAAATAAAAGGTACCATAAAAGTCCCAAATTCAAAATTAGTGATAAAGTTGATGGAAATGTTGCTGTACGATATAAAATATCACCCACATTTTTTGTTTGGACGATGTGTGTTGGGCGAAGTAACGGTTCGGCGTAAGGTGTCATGGGGTCCCGCGGTGTTTCGTGAACTATTGCTGTAACTTCCGAGCTCTTTACATCAGTGTCAAATGCTGTATCTATTTCTGGTGCAAGTATTTCATTATTGTTATTTGTGTGTTTTAAATAATTTAAATTTTGTCTTTTTAGCGTAAGTGGTAATACATTTAATTTGTCAATATTTAAAGTTGCATTAGAATTTAATTTTGTATTCTTTATGTCACTATCAGCAAATGCTGTTGTTATTACTAAAATTACGAAAAATATTTTATTTACACACAACATATTTAAAACTAAGTTCAGATGAAAAATGAGCAACTTCTTCAAGCAGAATATGATATTTATATGACTTGTCAGCGCATCATTGTGGTTAAAATGCAAAATTTAGAAAGAAATTTGATGGACAGTTTGACGCGTTATTAGTTTAACTAGACAAATTGTGTTTAAATAGTGAAAGGTTCACTGAATATGACACGAACACAAATTCAGTGTTATTTTAAAAATATTATTTCTTAAAAATATTTTTTTTTACTAAAATTAATTGAAATGAAATTTATTTTTTGTTTGGTTTCAATATGCAGTAATGATCTGTACGGTTTCAATGCTCAATGATGTTGTTGACTAGAGAAGAAAATTCTAGTATTCGCAGGATACTATCCTTTTTCCTTAATAATACTCCAGTATTACAGTAATTAACAAATAGCTGGTTCGCAATTGTTGTTGTTGTGTAGACAAATAGGTTCTCTATTTTGAAATCCCTTTGAAAGGTGTTGAACGACAATTGGTCCTTGATGGACCTTCACATTTGTGTTAGTTTTAGAATCGTACAGTCTTGGTATATATCTTCCTATAAAACGAAAATTGATGATAAAAATTATTTATTAAACTTTTATAAAAATTTCAATATGGAAAATATTGGTAAAATTATGGCTTATATGAAATTATAGTTAATTTTAATATTATTTTTATACTTAACAACCGAAATCTCAAGAATGTTAAACAAATATCGAAAATGTCAATATCAAGTTATACTAAAATATTTTGAAAAAACAGAACAAAACTTTTTTAAAATTATATATATTCATAATAATATCCTTATAAAATAAATCTAATCCAATATATACTAACCGTGTTATTTGTAGACAGTTTTTCAAATTACTCTTATAATGAAAATATTGCTATGGGGTATCTCTGCTAATAGGATTAAATAACAGACAACCCTAACCTTCATTCCTACAACATATTATAAATAAGCAACACAGTATTCCATAGCAGCTTCAAAAAGTAAATCTTTACTAGATAAATTATATAATTGGACTGTGTAATACACAGATGGCTTTAAAACGGACACATCATTACGTTTGTTACATTTCATCTAAATTTCGGGAAGTAGGCTAACTAATGGCGTCACTGCAAAAGCCTACGCTAATAAAGTTCCCCACAATCACTTCATATTTGTAGTCTACTTCGATAACTATAGTCTACTTATAAGCAATAATCAAATGCTATTACAATAGTAAGGTCAATATCAGGTAAAGGATACACTCCAAGAAGCTTAAAGTTGTGTGGATCTTCGAATATGACGGCATACCTGGGAACAAATCATACTGTCCTTACTTTATCTTTACAACTTACAAAATTGTAGACATTTGCAACATTATAAATGTTCACATTAATGGCATTGTGAAGCAAAACTGCCAAGCCTTTCGGCATCATTATCGTTCTTTCGATCTGAGGGGCATTAAGCCGAAATTTTTGAGTACATGCAGCGATTTACTGTATTTTCACGTTTTAGAATCGGACACACTTTCGCGTCGGATAAAAACATACTCTCAGGAACCCTTTAAGTGTTTTCAGGATTTTTCAATGGTCTCATATCACCTTTTCATATCACTGATTCCGATCGCATTTTTTCCAATCAAAGTCTGGGTCATTTTGACTGGAATATCCTTTTCCATCGTCTGGCTCGCCTTGTTTTAGTTAACATCGAATGTTTTTAGAAATTATTGGTAGAAATTCGATGTCTGTATCTAATTTAGCACATTTCTTTCGTGAAAACTGTAATATTGAATTTAGCCTTAATCTAGCTTCTCTATATCTTGTTTTTATGAACCTTATGATTATTAGTGTACTTTGTTATCTTAATATCATTATTATTTTATTATTTCTATTATTATCACTTTGTTATTAATTTTATGTAATTAACATAATCCAAAGTCAATGGCCTCTGCTGCCAGTACTGTCTATTCGCTTAGATATTTTATTATCGTATATCCGCGTTATAAACAAATCTTTTATACTACATATTATTATTCAAGTATTTATAAATATCATTACACATTTGTAAATAATATTTTTACTTAAAGCATTCTCCTGATAGTATATGTATATACATATGTACATATAAAAATTGTAAACACTTAAGATTTAATTTTTTTACTCTCACTTGCTATATTAGTTTTATTTGTTATTTCTTATCAATTATTTAGTTTATGGAAATTTATTGTCATTCATACAAAGCTATTAATTTAATAAACAGTAACTAAATAAAAAGAAAAGAAAAAAACCATCGTTAAATAAAAAAAAATTAAATTCAAAAGTAAAAATATTTTTATGTGCACATTTATATATGAGTATATGTATAAGTATAATACATTATGGTCATTACACAAAAATCCCATTGATTATAAAATAGTAAATATTTCTATAAAAAAAATCTCATAACATTTATAACAATAACAAATAATAGAATTTAAAGAATTTGTTCAGCTTTTAGCACCACTGAAGGATTTTCAATAACATCTTTGCTTTGTATTAGCTTAAGTTCTCTCTCTTTTGAGGTAACCTTACATTTACCCTCCCGCATATTAGTCGGCATCATTTCCAAAGTACGTTTAATAACAGCTTGCAAAGATGCAATGGTTTTCTCTAAAGCTATTCCTAAGTCCGTTGTCTCATAACTATGTGCCAAGAATAACGAAGCAAACAGATCACCAGTACCAGTAAATGATATATTAACCCCTTGTCGTGGTATATTAATAGCAAATCGTGGCCCATTTTTTTTACTAATAAATGCACGTAATTCTCCAGGTTTGCCTAAGTCACTGCTTGAAATAGCCACAGTATCAATATTACGTTCATGAAACCATTCCACCGCCGCCCAAATATCTGCTTCAGTATTTATTTTCCGTTCTGTCAGCAATTCTACTTCATATTGATTCGGTGTGATTATATCAGCAAGTGGTATAATTTCGTCACGATAAATCGGCAACAGCTCCTTAGGTACATACATAGTACCATCGTCACCCATTACTGGATCACACACTAAAAAAATTTATCAATTTAATATTTTTTATGCAAATTTATATGCGTTGATAATTTTTAAGATTTATTGCAGTTTGTTTACCATGACAATCACTTTTTTTTACTATACTTACCATATATCAAATTAGCATTGGCCTGACGTAATTTTTTTAATATTTGTGCCACTTGTCGTAGAAATGATGCATTTCCAATGTAACCGGTCAATAAATGTGAGTAATTATCAAGGAGATTGTTTTTTTCCAAACCTTCAAATAAATCCGCTATTTTTTTGTTTTAACAATAAAACGATATTTTATTTTTGTTTCGTAATTTGTTGTAATTTAATTTACCCAACTCTTTTTCCTGCAACACTTGACCTTTAAAGACGTCATAGCCCGTGTGATTTGAGAATTGTACAGAATTTATGGCATCTACTTCGAAACCAAGTACCTTCAATTAAATCAAATAGATTAGCAAAAAAGATATAATTATAACGTTACTTTTCAAACCTGTAATGGGAATGTAGCACTCTTGTTGCCCACATAACCGAAAACTACATGGCTTTGTATAGATAGCACTCGCCGATTTATAGCCTGTGAATTCATATTCAATTTTTGTTTTTATATTAGAAATAGTAAACAAATTCTGGTATAATATACCAAAGTGTACACTTTAAGCGTTTAGAGATCACTAATGGAAAACACTAATAGAAAAGATTTTATATGCTTACACACATAGGGAAAATTATATTATCACAATGTGTACTTACAGCAATGAGATAAGAGCAGCACTGTGCATTTATTTACTTGTTGATTACTTCATTTATTGTCTTTTATCATTAATTTGAAAATAAATTAAAGAATAGATGGCATAAAGAACTATCAGAACTAAAGTGTTTTAAGTGTTTGTCAATTTAAGGGTGTGGTTTCAATGAGCGTCTTTTAACGAAAGTAGTAATAACTAGAATTTTTCATAATAGATCCCATTCAAAATTTAATTAAATAACTTTTGATGCATAATGGATTAATTTCTTAGCGAAAATAAATAAAACCAAAAAGTATTGTAGTGGAAAGTTGACTACATTCCCAGAGTGCATTTCAGTTAAACGTTTAGCGCCAATTTTACAATTTGCACATAAGTGTCGATTTGATATTGATATTATATATCCTTAAATTTTAAGTGACTTAACTTCACTAACCCCACTAAAACCACCTCTTAGTAATATTCAAAATATACAAATTGCAGCTACTGGCCCAATAAGTTCAAATGACTTTAAGTCACTTTAGTTAATAATATCGAACACTAAAGGTTTATTTAGCTTAAGTGTGAATTGTAAAACTGGCTTAAACTTATTTGAGCAAAAAAAAACTAATACTTATTTAGTTTTAATTATAAGAATATCTTACATCATATTATAATTTCAGAGTGTGGAAAGAGAGCTTTTATAAGTTTATAGGTTTCTTACATCTTACATCACACTATATTTTCAGTGTATGGAAAGAGAGATTTCATTAAATCTTAATAATATAATTAATAATCTAATATAATCTTAATATTAATAATATAATTTCCATTATATTAAATTGTATCTTTCTTTCCATAATGTTCTTGTTGTAATTTACTAAATTCTCTAAAATATATTTTAACTATCTCATCAGTTTATATTAAATTAGTGTTAAATTTATGTTAATTTATATTAAATTCAATAATTAGCACTTATTTTTAAAAGGATTGTGAAAGTAAATAAAATACAGTGTCATAATGGATATAAAGTGATTTTCTCGTTTTGAAATAATTGATGGAAATCCAGTTTTGGTATTATTTATTGTAGAGGCGAAAAGATAAATAAGTTATTCCGCTTTAAGGCAATAGATATCAAGTGACTTTATATATATAAGAATTCTAATTTTCTTGTATTCACGAGAGATTTTAATGTGAAGTGATCTAATCAAATCATGTGAAAATTTTTTTTTTGTAACATATATCTCTTGTGGTATTTGTTACAACGCGGAGCTAGTGGCTGTAGAAATATTTACTTAATAGTGACTGTGATCAGTTTGGGGATTCCCTTGTGTTCAATTTATGTAAGATATTAAAACATTCACAATATATATCTACGAAAACATTCACAAAAAATCTACGGATTAAAACAATTTCAGGGTCTTATATATGTGTATACTGTTTACAGCTTAAATATGAGAACAAATTTTTTGTTCTATATAATATAAGAAATATATTATTTATAAAACGCGATAATATTGAAATTAAATTTTTAAGTCCATTATTAAGATTAATTTGATAACAATGCGATATAGAAAACTAAACTAAGAGTTTAATTTTTCGTTCAATAATTATTACTTTACTTTTCACATTTCACATTTGTTATGTACTTTTCGTAAATATAGAGAGGTTGGCAGCACTGATGTCATCATGTGTGGATTTTGACAATACGTGCTGAAGGCACAAATTCTTGCGGTTGACTTTTTCATTGCGGTGTGCAACATATTTCTAAAAAAGCTAATATATTCAATGAAATTATAATTTATAATTCACTATATGTATAACATAATTATTTCTATAAAAAATAAAACTGAATAGTTTAATTATGTCTGCAATTACGCGTTTGTTGACAAAAAATTTACGTAATTCTAATGGGAGTGTTGTACAGATTCGTCAGCTGAGTGCACAGCAAGAATCAGATCAAGAGCTTCACGATGAAGGTAAATGCATAACTATTTGATTTTAACAAATAATTTAATAACTATATTCATATTTATAGAATTTCGTGTTCTTAACCTGCGTGAGATTAAAAAACCCGTACAGAAGAAACGAGTTGTAAAGAAACAAGAACAGCAACCACCGCGTACAACAAAAATGGCAATTGACCAAGATTGGACAGCTGTATGGCCAGGTCCACGCTCCTTCCATCCGGCATCTGTACCGTTACCGTTAAGACAAGGTTACGCTTTAAAAGGAGCAGCATCACCATCAAAATATGCCAATGCTGAGCTAATGAAGATACCAAATTTTTTGCATTTAACACCACCAGCCATAAAACAACAATGTGAAGCATTAAAGAAATTTTGTACACCTTGGCCGAAAGGACTGGAAACAGAAGAAAAATGTAGAAAGCATTTTCCAATCGAAGTTATACATACAGATTATTGCCATGGTTTGCCAACAATACGTCATCCCGAGGCACGACGTGTAACACTAAAAATTAGTCTTAGTGATTTAAAATTCGATTCACATGCAAGGGATAAATTTTTACGATTAGTTGGAGAGCGTTATGACCGTGAAACAGATACTCTAACTATTGTGGCAGATCGTTGTCCGTTACGAAAGCAAAATTATGATTATGCTATATATTTATTGACAGCTTGTTATCATGAATCATTTATAACAGAACCATGGGAAGCAACTAAAGTGGAAGCTGATATGGAATTATATCATTTTAATCGCAATGTGTCTAAAGTATCTGCTGAGGCCATTTTGAATTGGGGCAATAACGATGATGCCAATAAGGTAAATGCAAGTGAATCCTTTGGCAAATGCGTGGAGGATCTTATCAATGATGGTGAAAACGAGTATAGTTTAGGTAAATACAAAGAAGAAGTTATCAAACTTCTAGGTTTAAATAAGAACTAGAAAATGATAGGCTTTTAGTTCATTGTTATCAAGTCGCATCGATTGAAAAAGTTTTAATTAAAATGTTTTTTTTTGCTACAAATTAATAATAATAAAAAACATTTTTAAGTTAGTAATTTTAGTTGGATTTTATTATGATATATATGTAGTATGAATTGATATATTCAATTTTACTAATGTAGGTCTAAAATTATGATTTTGCATACTTAAAAGCCTTTGAGAAAATCTAAATTGTACGAATCAAATAAGTCTGTTTCGGAGTTTGGTTAGTACTATTACGTCGATCGTATATACAATCAAACTAATGGGAATTCAGAATGGTGAGCTGTGTTGGAAGAGTAAATTACTTAAAAAGTTTATCATTTTCTTCATGAAATTCAATATATGTCATCTCAGAAAGAAATTTTATAGTTAATGGCCTTTTTGTTATACATCATGAGTTATACTTTATGATCTATTGAATTGGTATTATATTCTTTTCTGGTCATTTCTAATTCCGTTCTTCATTCTGATTTAAAGTCGGGTTCGATTGACATTCTCCGTAACATACTTGGATTCTCTCCTAATAATCATGGACTTACTGATATGACATTCTATTATTTGAGTGTGTTAGGCTGGAACAGCAATAACTATCTGGCTAATGTTGTATGATTGAAGACCCAATAAAAATGTAGTAAGTCTCAATAAACGTTTTTATATTTTGTTGCCATTTAATAAGCAACACTTATATAATTATAGAGTATATAACTTGACTTCACTGATGTCATCAGATATTATAGTGATATAATTCATAATCTAATTTAATTAAATTGGTTTTATTTGATTGTATTTAATTAATAAAGAGGAAAATACAACAAATTAAGTGTTACTCTTTTATGTGATATTCGCCCTTAAAAAAATTGTTCAAATAGTAACATTTCGAAACGTAGTCGAAGAGAAGTAAAATATATATACCGCGATAATTTTAGCCGTTCATAATTTCTTTGCCAATTAGAAACAGATAAAATCTTGGAATCATATCGAAGGCATATCTTAAGTATTCTTAAGTTCTATAAATCATTGCAAGCTCTCTAAGTAATTGATGAGTGCTTTAAATCTCCAACATAAAATATATAAAATATTCCACACGTAGTGTAAATAAAATAATATATATCTAAATAAAAAAATAAATAATCCATGTATTGTGAAATATAATTAAGATATAGCCATTGACATAATTTTGATTTAAATTAATAAAAAAAATATATACCTAAATGTTGAGCCTTTTTCGAGTAGTGCATCTGGGCCCTTTTACTCTTTGATAGCTGGGGAGTTTCTGCAAAATCCCACCCATCTCACTGACTAATTTATGTATTCCTCATAAACTTCGTGATTATTCAATGACTGATTTCAGATATGCGTCCCGTCCGTGCGGTTAGTGATTACTCTGAGATTAGATAGTGCTAAGTAGGGCAGACTGTCAGTTTTCGCAAATAGCTTCAGGGCTCTGTCCCTTATGTTTTTTTTGACCGGACCTATTCTAAGGTCTCTTAGCATGTCATTCGTGCGGATGTACCATGGCACTTTGAAGAGTCGTCGGTGAGCCTGACTTTGAGCAACTTGTAGCTTCTGGATAGTAGAGGCGGCAGCTTTGCTATACGCGACACACCCATAAAGTAATGCTGGTCTGATTATTTGGCTGTAGATCAACTTTCTATTCCTCGCGCTAAGGTTGTTGTGTTTGAAAATTGGTTGTAAGCATTTTCTTATTTAATCAAAATGCGCATTAGGAAGAGACATAGATTTACTAGATGACTCTCAAGGACAGTCGAATTATAAAATATAATAAAAAATATTAAACATTGAATTATTTAACAAAAAGAGACCTACAGCCGGATTAAAAGATTTACTAGATTTTTATTTGAAAAATAACTTCTCGTGCCCGTACTTTCAACATAAACTACTTTTTTCAGTATGAGCCCGTACTGTAAAAGTATGGGCTCATACCTCTTATTTACTACTATATTATAAATGTATAATATATACTATATTTATTACTATAAGTGTAGCTTTTTCCAGAGAGGTTTTACAATATTATTCTATTTGATTTTGATAGGAAAAAAATGGAATCATATCATATCTATTATTTATTACTTTCAGCGTGAATTGCTTTTCTTAGAGACGATTTTATTCTTATATATTAGTTTACTTGACTTTTATATAAAAAGTATGATAGCATACCTATTATATATCAGATTTTTACTTAAATCCTTGTTCTTTATGCGTAAACTTATTTCTCTGACTATTTTGTTTTTATATATAATTTTACTTGACTTTTACTTAAAAATTAATAGTACAGAGCTTATATTAGTATTACTTTAATACTTATTATATATTAGTATTACTTTAATAGTAATATAATTACTTTAAATTATATTTATATTAATAATTTATATTAATATAGCCTATATTACTTTTATAATTAGTATTACTTTATAGTAAATCAACTAAAAAATGTTATATTTGTATAACAATCAATATAACTTTAAGTTATGACTTATTTAATTATTGTTTGTTGACTTTTATTTAATTATTGTTTGTTATTGTTTAAATTTGGTTTCTACTTAAAATATTTTTAATTAATTTATTTTCTTAATTGTTTTATACTATTTATATTATTTTGTATTTTATTATATGCTTACAATTTGTTTAAAATTCTTTATATTATGATAATTAACAGTAAAGTGTGAACGCGGTGGTAGTACTAAAATCGATAAATATTTTTATAAATCGAAATGCTCTCATCGCTAACCGCAATCAAACAAATTCCAATAAGACTGAAGCGACGTGCTTGCATTTTGTTTGTATTCTCGCACGGCAGAATTTGTGTTTAGCGTACGTTTAGATTAAATTTAATTTCGGTTTATAAATTAAATTAATAAACTAAATTGATAAAATTTAAAGTGCGCGGGTAGTGTTCTCGATTGTGATATATTTTTTAATACTAGTTAAACTTTAAGGTGAGTGAATTCTTAAATTTATGTTATATATAAAATATTCAACTTTTTTCTGAAGACTTTTTTTAACAAAAAGTCTTAATTAAAAAATAAATAAAACAAGAACATTTTAAATATTCATGAATAATGCTTCTTCGTCTTGTTTTAAACTGGTTTTTTTAAGGTTACCCAAATCATAAAACAATAAGAAAAAGAACACAAAAGAATGCACATCATTTAAATAATTTGCCGGAGTTTTGTTTATTTTTTATCGGTGCTAGCGCGTTAAGCTTGCCCGTTAAGTCGTTGAATAATTAAAAATTATGTGTATTTTAATTATTTTTTACCTGACACAAGTACTTATAAATGTTTTTTTATTTTATTTTGCCTAACTTCAACAGTTTCTTTTGTAAAATTTGCACAACAATGAAAATATTTTTTTAGTTTATTTTTTTTTATAAAAGTCATTTGCATAAATAAATAATTACACATGTATTGGAAAATTTTTTGTTTAATCGTCTTCTTATCTGTAGTGGTAGATAAACATATCAGTTGTGTATATGTTTATCTACCACCACGGGAGTTATTTTTGTTTTCTTTTTTTTTTTGTTTTTTGTTTTTTTTTTTTTACCAACAAAACGCAACTTTGCATTCTTAACTGCTTACCGATGGAAGTACGAGGGCTGATTGATTAGTCAGTGATAATGAAAACAAAACTATAAAATTATTTTATAACTATTTATTTTTTTATTTGTTATTTTATTATTATTTATTATTTTTTTATTATTCTTATTATTTCTTTTATTTTTATTGAAATTATTTACTTTTAAATTCATTTTTCGAAATTATCCGCTCTATAAAATTGCAGCAACGGTATTCCAATTTTTATATATCTTTTGAAAAAATGTGATATTTCATATTTATTATTTGCAGGGATTATGTTCAATTTTAACAGGAATTTCATTAGAGAATTTTTTTTTTAATTTTGAAGTAAATAAAAATCAGATTAAGGCCTTGTGCCAGTTCGAGTAAATTAATGGTAAATTAAGGGAAATAGTAAATTATGTCGGTATGGCAGCGAATGTTAGTATTAACAGAATTTCGAGTAGGGTAAATTAGATAAAAATTAAGTAAATTAGGTGTTACCATTGCTAAAATTTTATAAGATATTTATTAAATAAATAAATAAATAAATATATAATAAATAAATAAATAAATAAATAATAAATAAATAATAAATAAATAAATAAATTTATTAAATAAATAAATAAATTTGAAAACTTAACCAAAAATAATAAATAAGTGCAGTAAATAAATAAATAAATAAATATTTACATAAGTGCAGTGCAAAAAACCCTAGGAAATTTCAATTTATTTTACCTCAATTTACATGAACTCGCACACGGCCTAAATTGATTTTTCGACATTGTCAGCTCTATAAAATTGCAGCAACACTATTCCAATTTTTATATTATATATCTTTTGAAAAATGTGATATTTCATATTCATTATTTGCAGAGATTATGTCGGATTTTGGTAAGGTTTTATTATAGACCTTTTTTTTTTTAATTTTAAAATAAATAAAAATCAGATTAGATATGTAGATATGATAGCATCTTATAAAGTAATTCGATTAATTCTGTTGTTGGTAAATCTATAGTATGTTTCCAAGTAAGTTAACTGGTCTAACGAAGCCAGTGGAAATGTACTACTAGATATACTGGATTCAATCCAGATTAACTCTCGACATGTCTAACTTCGTTGCCCAATCAAACGTTTTCAGATTAAACTACCATTTTTGTAGTTGTGTTAGTGGGCATTTATATTTTCCATAAATATATATGTCAAATCAAAAACCATTCTTGTCAAGTAATATAAAACAACTGTTAATTTCAGAGTAATTGTGTTACTCTTGCAAAATATCTAGAGTGTTATAAATTAAACTTAAGTGTTATACATTTCGCTCGAGATTTACAAAAAAAAAAAGCCTTATCTACAAAAGTTTGTTATCTCGATTGAAAAAGTTATCCCAGATTTAGATTTATCAATCGAAAATGGCAACACCTTTACCGTCCAAGCAGTCTAAAAGCACGCATACTATTTATTGCTCTGCTATTATGATATATGGGACTGTCTATTATAATCCCTTCATGTGTATTCTAAAAAAGAAAAGCAACAACCTTTTACACTTAAAGTTGCTTCTGCTTTTTTGGTAAATTCTACTCTTTTGATTGTCATTCAATCCTGGTGTATAGTACTGTCCTCGTATCTCAACCACTGTTATAAATCAACACAGATATGTTTTGGAATTACACTGAAATGTGCAGTAGATCTCCGGTAATTCCTCGTAATCCAGTCAAACTTAAAAAAAGCAAATTATGCATTATGTATCTTGTAGTTCGGATGGACTACTGAGTAGATAATTCCGATCACATGTTGTGAAAATATCTGCTCGATAGTACCTATAGTGAAATAAATCACATATGGATTATGTTTTGTTTGTTTCATCCTTTAATTTATTATTGTTTATTTTTTATTGTTAAAATATATATATAATATATATAAGATTTTTTCTGAATTTTTAATATGACTTCCGTAATTTGAATGTCTGGTTATGTCTGCTTAGCATCTTTAGTGTTTATACAATCACAACAAAACTAGGTAAACCATTTTGAAATTACTTCCTATGATAATGTGGAGTTTCCGTAGTATTTGTCACACTTTATAAACATTAAAAATGATGTTTTCTTTAAAAAGTTTTAAGCATAATGTGGCATTTATCTTGTGAATTTCGTGCTGTTAGCTGGCACTTTTGGTTGGTTTAGACATTTTTTATGGTTTTTGTTATCACTTTTGCTTGTTTTTGTTTGTTTTTGTGTTTTTGTCATATATGTTATGGTATTGTTAGGTAGCATTTTTGCTATAAATAATATATGAACTAAAAAGAGCATCATAGAGTGGGTGGATTCATTAAATTTGTTCCACTGTTGATATGAAATCAATTAAGTAGGGTAATTATAATTGTCCTACTGTAATTATAATTGTTTTCATTAAAAAAATTGAAACCAATGAAAGCAATAATAAATACGAAGAAATAAAATCATGGTTTTACACATAACCAGATTATAAAAAAATAGCATAAAAATCCTAAATTTAATGTAGTCCAGTAATACTAATAAAAAGGTTAATAAAAAGCCCTCAAGCTTTTAATCTAAATCAGTAATCTATATTTTTAATCTACATCTTTACAATGTGTTTACACTATCACAATTAGCTCGTTAATTGTTGTTTTTTGTACTAAATCTATAAAAAAAAAATTAAATAATGTGGTTTGATACTTGTAAGTGTATACTAACTATTTATTTATTTTTTATGTTTAAGTTTATTTTTTTTTAATAATTAATGAAAATTGTTAAATTATGTTAATGAAGTCAGTAAATGAAAAAGAATTAATCGGCAATATCCTACAACTAACTAGCAGGTCAACGATTTTGCAAGAATAGAAATAAAGAAAATATATAATTAGAGAAACTTCAACAAATGAAATATGAATACCTGACAGTTAGACAAGGTGTCTGTCAAGATTACAGACCGTTAAGTAATTTCATATTGCAAATAGAGGTAAAGACTTAATGATGCAGTCAGTCTTAAAACATAAAATATGTTGGTAATTTTGCACATTCCTACATATGAATATAACTATTACGTGATTAAATAATACATTTTTATCTATCACATAAAAATTGCATAGAATAATATGTTTGCAATACAATTAAATAAAATTAGTGCTAAAGATAAATAAAGTATTCAGACCGGTGTGTGTTTAGTTTAAATCGTGTTCAAGAACACGAGATAATTCGGAGTAATATCGGGTTAACATATATATGCCTTTTATACAAACTGTAGTATCCGTTTATGTACATACAAAAAATGAAAGTATATCTTTTATACTATCTTTGTGGTTTATGGTAATATGCAGACTTCTATCGTATTAGTTCAATTATAGATGCACATTATAACTCATCCTATTTTGGAGAACAATGATTGTGGCATACCAATATTAAACCAAGCTTTTAGAATACAAATAGACTTACTATAGATAGTTGGTTCAAATGGTGACGAGTTCATTAGTCTAATTAGCGTTTTTGCACTAATGCCACATTCGATTTCCTTCTACACTCGATTTGATGCTATATTCAATTTGATGACATATTCACGTTACCAACTGTTTGATTGCATGTTTATGTGAGCATTCGATTAAATCAAGTCCGGGTGGTTAAGGACCCTCATCGTTAACACTAACTTCCGCTAGTTCTCTGAGATTATTAAAGATCAATTCTTTTAGGGTAGCTGTTGGCTTTCTAGTAGGGCATGCATAGACATGGAAAGTAATATATAGTTTTGTTTTCTTTTATATGATTGCAGTTGTGTAGGATTCGAAGTTGACCACTTGCTCACGAATAGTCATGTCTACCGTTCGTTTGAAACATCTCTCCTGTTCCTGATTATCAGCAATAATATCTGCTCAAGGTGGTATCTAGACCATAATGTATTATTATTTTAACTTGATCCAAAAGTTTTCTATCTATAGTCTATTTGAAAATATTTAATTATAATAGAACTTTTAGTTACATTCAATAGCGTTTTCAAATGGCAGATCCCCTTCTCGTCAGTTCATCTGCGTTTTTAATTTAATATTTCGACGTCGCGGGAGATCTAGATAAGAAAAACATTGTGCAATTGGTTTACGGTAATTAGGTAATCTTATGATTTGTTCTATTAGTTAAAAAGTTGTGACGAATAGACTCAGCGTGTGACTATCTGGTAAAATAATGATGTTATTTTTGTAAATCACTCGTAAACTGTGATTTCTATCCTACACGCCTCTTCAATTGCTAAAACTTCCGCCTGAAAAATACCATATTCAGTACCGACACTGCAACCTATCGTGGAATCATTAGTGAAGATAGATATATATGAGAAGATAGATAGAAGATAGACACATTTATATAGTGAGTTAACTTTATGCCCTTATTTCGCAATAAATATATCATATAGAATATAGAATTGATATACTATGGCAAAAAATACAATATTTTCAAGTTTTTATTATTTTTATTACATTTTATATAAAATTTTTGTTGTTGTCTATAATTTGTATCAAAAAAAATGTACTTTTAAATGGACATTTATGTCTCTTCTAGTATAGTATATATGTTTATAAAATATCTTGAATATCACTATTATAAATGCTACTGAGTAATCATAATTTTAGTATAAATTTTAATATTTTCTTTTAGTTAATGCTTAAAGGTGTTCGAGTAGTGGAATTTGATGAGTGGCCATTAAATTTATAATGTAAAACATTTGTGAAACATAGTCTAGTGTTGGTTATTTGGGTTTTGTTGTTTAAAAGCTTGTTTTGTAACAGCTAGACCTTGTAGCTCAAAGGTCAACAGTTTAAAGTTTAACAAAGTATATTTCCGAAAGGAAACTTTATTGAAAAATATGCAATATCCTTGATCAGTTCATCTCGCAGTCGCAGCTTTAAGTAGTTGGCAGTATTTAATATGTTAAATCCAAAAAACTCAGTAGCATTATATGTTCAGTGGTATAAGCTATATAATCTATCATGTTATAATAAAGTGGTTTGATCTTAAACAGACTTTCAACAAATATCATCATTAAGTACGAATTAAAATAAAAAAAATATGGTAGCTTTGTTGAGTACAAGACTTGAACAGGAATCCTAATAATATCTGTAATATCAGTACAGGCATATGTAGTACCAGTATTAAAATAGTTGGGTCTTTAGCACATCGTTTACTTTTCGGGTTGTTAAAATCAATACTACTTTTCGTTGCTTATAGTGCGGGAAAGAGACAATATTAGTTCGAAATGATTGTTATATTTAAAAAAAAATTGTAAATATTACAGCAGGTAAGTATTTGTGGTTATATTTGAAATATGATCTTTGTTATTTTCTATCTGAAAGTTTTATATGAAAACATGCCTCTGTTGTGACCCGGGTTATAACAAACATGCATGGCGAAATTTGATTAAAATCAGTTAACGCAATAAAGAGTTTAATAAGAAGTAACAAATCAACAAACAGGAATTCACTCTTGTAGACTATATGGAATCACCTATTGTATAAGATATGGACATATCCATATCTGTTATATTCATATACTTTAAGTGGAAACAATTATCATTTATCATCACTATATTTCATCGAAACAACTGGAAAGTTTCAGCATTAACTCCAATTATATGACATAATATATGAAACTCTTTTATAATGGTGATTTAGTCAGTAGACTAAAAAAGTGCTATTCCAACAATTTTTTGAGCGGCTAGGAGTATTCTCGGTTCTACTTGTCATCGACAGCTAATGGCGTACCGCAAGTCACCGAAGTAATTATTTATCATCCTCATATTATAGGAAGCTGATAAGTTTTGGCATTAACTTAAGCTATTAAACGTTTAAAGTGGTTTGATCAGAGGACAGTGAACTGATATTTCATTAGTTCGAAGAGCAGTTAGGTCTACGTTTTGGTTTTAGTTATTTACGACGCCTGATTGGTTTTCGTAAGTCTTGTCGGACTTTTTTGGTCAAGTAAACATGTTACTTAAAGAGAGAATAATTATCAAGATAATAATAATAATAATAATAACTACATATTTTATTTCTTCGCTGAATAGAAGGAGGGTAAGAACAACTTAAAATAAATATAAAGTGTACCATTAAAAAATTGGATAACATGACACAATGTAATATATAATATATTTTATATATTTTTATATAAATAAAAAAATGTAAAAAATCAAAGTTAAATTTATTTGATAGTTTTTTTTAATTAATTTCATTTTTATTTAACTTTCTGGACTCAGAAAAAACTCCTGTAAAAGATTTCATTGTTGTTGCTGTAGAAATCCGCATTGGAAATCTGTAAAGTAGAAATATGAATCCATGAGTATACATATGAATATGCAAGTACTCGAGGTGAGTAGTTTTCAAATTCTAAAAAGCGAAGAAATTAGACCTAGAAAGGAAAAGACAAGTATTCGAGGTAAGTAGTTTTCAAATTTTCAAAGCGAAGAAATTAGGCCTAGAAAGGAGAAGACAAGTACTCGAGGTAAGTGATTTTCAAATTCTCAAAGCAAAGAAATTAGACCCCGAAAGGAGAGTAAAAACGAGAGTAATAAAAAGGGCAGACACAAAAAAATACGTGGTCTGGACGCAAATCAAAAATCAAAACAGCATGGCTTGGAATCCCAACATAAAAGAGACCCTTAAAGAGACCCGAAGAAATGCGAAGGCGCGTCCGGGGGTAATAAGTTTCTCCACAGAGGTGGTGTTTTAGTCTTTATACTACATATTTATATGTTAAAAAGTCGGTCACATCATTCCAACGATGGTCGGTTTGACGTTTCGTAAGGCATTCCACCTCCTCACCATAAAAGTATAAAAGTATAGTCACCATAAAAGGTTCTTGAAGTATAGGAAAGATAACGAAAATATAAGAATAAAATATTATTTAATCAAAAAACCCTTTTAAAACCAAAAATTTAAGTAGGAATTCAAACAAGATAATATATATAAAACCCACATTTATCGTACATACGAACTTAAAACTGCTATGGGTTCTATATAAGTATAGGTTCTAAAAAAACTAAAGTGTTTTTTTTGATTGAACAATATTTTATTCTTATATCTTCTTTAAAAAAAATGTTAGTTTTAAAGGAACTTAACCTTTGGATAAAATGTTTTACTTCCGTATAAATCAGCTTTAAGTTTTAAGCTCCTATATACTATGAAATTGGGGCTTATATATATATTTGTTTGGATTTCTAATTGAAGTTAATCTATTCTATTATTAGAACCTTTTCTTAAAAGAATTGATGTACAATAGTAGATATCAGATTTAAGTTATAAGTTCGTATATGCGATGTATGTGAAGTTCATATATTTTCTTGTTTGGATTGCTGATTATTTTTGCTGCCCTCAAATACTGTTGGTAACAGTACTTGGCCTCTAGAGTAAATATTTCATCAAAACGTTAAACTCAGCATTTATTCAGCTGCGGATTAAAAAAAATTTAACTTGGGTAAAAACTATATAAACAAATCTGTGTAAACATCTACAGCTACATCTACTCTCTTCGAAATCGAGCCGTAAGCTGTGATGTATGAAGTTTTTTGATACTCTTCTGCTAATTAAAATGAAAATGCTTATTATTTCAATTAATTTAAAAGTATAATTTCCAAAAAAAACAAAAAATAGATTTTAAAATGAAGTCTGTGAGAGTGACTGCTTATCTATAAAACTCACTGAAAACATTTTTATCTAATTTTCCTAATGAGTTTTTAGCGTTTAGTGTTGTTTTTGACGTATTGTATGCGTTATCAGCATAAAATAAATTGTTTAACATAGCACTATTCTCTTGCTTTTCAGTTTGCTTTAAGTATTCATGTAGGTCTGCAGAACGACACGTATTTCAAATTGAACTTCTTAGCTATTCCATAAATTAAATGTTAAGTAAAGAATGAGACGACGTCCAAATTTAAAATGGTTAATCAAAACAACAATTTTACTGGTAGCTTCTATTACACTTTTTATGATATTCACTTCCTGGATCTCAGCTAGTCCATATACGAATCGGCCGAAGCATATAGAGAATCCACATGCAGCGCAATTGGTGGAACCGGCGCATAAACGTGGACACCATCAGCCAGTGGCACATCAACAAATAGTACCACCAATAGAAGACAACGGAAGACAGGCAAAAAATGAGATTGGTGGTAATCGAAAACATAACAAGAAGAATGAGGATAAGAGCAGTATGCAACTGCAGGCACCAAATCAGCTAAAGAAAGATTGGCATGACTATACCGCTATGGAGCGTGATGCGCAACGTGTTGGTATCGGTGAGCAAGGTAAACGTGCCAAGATTGATGACGAATCACAGCGTGAATTGGAGCATACTATGTCACTTCAAAATGGATTTAATGCACTATTATCAGATTCAATATCTGTGAACCGCTCAATCAATGATATACGCTACGAAGGGTAATTAATCATTTTTTTAAAAAGTATTTTGTTAAAATTATTCATTTGTTTTATGATTGCAGTTGTCGCAAGAAGGAGTATTCAGCGAAACTACCAACCGTCAGTGTAATTATACCTTACTTTAATGAGCACTTCAGTGTGCTTATGCGGTCTGTGCACAGCTTGATAAATCGTTCACCCCCAGAGTTACTAAAAGAAATTATTTTAGTTGATGATTTCAGTGATCGTGAAGGTAATTAGTCTTTTTATTTAACTAGTTGACACGCAAGTAAAGTGTCATATAAAGATATTTCTGACTTTAGTAATCGAGAAAGGTAAACAATATTTTTATTTAACTATTTGACACGTAACAAAAGTGGCAGGCATATAAACATATACACATATGAATTGAATAACTATTAAATCAGTGAAGCATTTGATGCATTTGATATATGTATATAACATATCACTATCTAGATATGTACCTTACATGTAATATACTATTTCTGTTTGGGTCGAATAATTGCACTTGTAATAATAGTACAATCTAGGAAGCACCGAATCTATTTACAGATGAAGTGTCGCTCAGTCCACCCTTCAAAAACCATTTAAATGGATGTTGTGCTAGTCCATTAAAATCTAGAAAGCTATCATACATATAACAAGAGTTAGGATAATGGGATGGGTTGCTCAGGTTCGGGGGGAAGAATGTTGCACATTTATGGTAGAGATGGGATAGGTGTTAGATGGAAATAATTAAGTTTAGCTTGTATTGAAAAGAAGGAACATTCATATCAATGGGGCGAAATCATAACTCAACACGACTGAAGTTGATATCTGCACTAGGTAAGTGAACGGATCGACTATGTCATAAGGTGTAGTGCCGCAGTTGATATATTCGTTGAGGATAGCAGTGTATATGTCTGATAAGAATCCGTGTAGAACGTGGCTATATCTGGACTTCAATCTAAAGTAGGGCAGTTTGTATTCCACATGTCAGGTTGTTTTATATATATAGAGATTGGAAACGGAGGTCTCTGACAACGTTGTTGGGTTGTAATTGGTAGTTTTAAGTATACAGTCTCTGTATGGTAGGTTAAAAGCTCTTAATGATTTCTTATACGAAGGAAGGTAGCGAAGTTATGCAATGTGGAGATAGGGTTTTACTTACATAACTTAAATATCTATCTGTGTCGCATAAGAGGCGGAATTTGTTTTGACAATTGCTGAATACGTTTCTTTAGGTCATTCTATCCTTTCAATAAGATAAATCAGGTTATTTGTCTAGTTTATGTACTTATAGTTCATAACAACAACAATTTCACCGATAATCTTATATTCTTAATTAGTTTAGGACTTAGTATCTTATGTACTTCAAGATGTGTCTTTTGACTTATTGCATTTAATTGATGCTATAGATTCTAATGTTGTGGCAAATTTATTTAAGAAATGCGTTTGCCTCATGTTTATTGATAAAAAAGTAATGAATTGGGTCGGCATTACAAACTACTAAAAGTATCTACAATCATAAATTTTTAAAAATAATCACAAGTGACTCATTTAAAACCAGTAGAAGAACAGTTCTACATTCATTATGAAAAAAAAGTTTAGTATATCTTATAAACGATTGAATTATAATTGTTAGACAAATTTTATATATAAGGGATTTGAGATAAGCAAATTGTTTAAATTATAAACCACCTTAGTTAGTGCTTAGACCTTAGAGAGACGTTAGCATTTGTTGATTTGTGATTTCTCTTACAATTTCGAAATCTTCGATCCAGATAAAAATAGTGAAAAGGATTAAGATATCTTGTATGATGACGATGAATATTAATATATAATAATATTGACTTCAGCTGGGTTTGCCATAAATTCTATTAAATAACATTTTTTTGTATGATTCAAAACTAGTCTTATAGAAAAATATAGTCGAAAGATAGGATACTGAAATCAATTTTGATGGTTATTAGTATTTTTTCCAGCTACACTTCTGATGGCTATTCTTTTATTTGTAAACACAATCTGTTTAATTTATTTCCCGTTTTTATTAATAATGGATGTGTTACAACGCTCATGCCTCGCGTCGTATTTAATATGTTCTTTTTATACTTCTTAAACCCCTTAAAATGATTCCTAACTTTATAGTTGTCGTCAATCTTAATTCCGTTTCTAATACAAAGTTTCACATGAATTTCCAGATTCGATATTTTATCTTACAAAAAATAGATAAATACGTTCATGTACATCTTATTAAGTCGTTCGGTAAGCATAACGTAAGAGCTGACGCTGACTGATAATTACCACTTAAATTACTGGTAATAAGATGTAGCGCCCGTCACCGCACACCATACTCTTTGATCAAACCCCATAAATGTAGTACTTGTATATTCTTCTTTAATAATATTCTATATAAAAATATTATTTTAATAAATCTTATCTTATTTGAATAAAAATATTTCCATTGTACCAAATATCATATTGTCTTCAAAGTTCTCAGGAATAGTGTGAATTTATTGTTTAGGTCCATGTCAAATATTTGTTATCAGTGATTTTTATATAAAACCATTTTGGCATATTTAATATACATATGTTTTATAATTAACAAGGAGTAAAAAATTTAAATAAGTCTTTATAAACTTCAACTTATCTTCGGCTTCTTCGGATTCTAAAGCTTCGTTATGAGGTTTTTGCTGTCATATAAATATATATATAAATTTATTGCAATAATATATTTTTCTTTTTAGAACTTTTTAAGGAACTTGATCAATATGTGGCAGCTAATTTTAAAATAGTTCAAATCATACGTTTACCGAATCGTACTGGTTTAATTGGAGCTCGTACGGCTGGTGCAAGGAAAGCCACTGCTGATGTATTGATCTTTTTGGATTCACATATTGAAACTAACTACAACTGGTTGCCTCCACTACTCGATCCAATCGCAGAGAATAAGCGTACAGCAGTGTGTCCATTCATCGATGTTATTGATCATTCCAATTTTGAGTATCGGGCACAAGATGAAGGAGCACGTGGTGCCTTCGATTGGGAGTTCTATTACAAACGTTTACCTTTACTACCAGAAGACTTGGTAGATAGAAGTAAACCATTTAAAAGTCCTGTCATGGCTGGTGGTTTATTTGCAATATCTCAAGAGTTTTTCTGGGAACTAGGTGGTTATGATGAAGGATTAGATATTTGGGGTGGGGAACAATATGAATTGAGTTTTAAAATCTGGATGTGTGGAGGTGAAATGTTAGATGCACCATGTTCCCGTATTGGTCACGTCTATAGAGGCCCACGTAAAAGTGCACCAAGTCCGCGAAAGACTGATTACTTACATAGGGTATGTTCTTGTGTTTAGTTGATTAAATGATTATTGCATCATTTCTACTTTCTTTTAGAATTACAAACGTGTTGCTGAGGTTTGGATGGATGAATATAAAGAATATTTGTATGACCGTGGACAAGGTCTTTATGAAACAATTGATGCAGGAGATCTTACACAACAGAAAGCGATACGCGAAAAATTGCACTGCAAATCATTCAAATGGTTTATGGAAAATGTTGCTTTTGATTTAGTAAAAACCTATCCACCAATTGAACCACCAGATTATGCTTATGGTGCTTTACAGAGTGTTAACACACCAACGCTTTGTATTGATACTCTGAGTAAACCACGCCATTCCCAAATTGGTTTGTACCCTTGTGCAGATAATTTAAAAAGACCACAGCATAATCAAAATTGGGCGCTTAGTTGGCATCGTGACTTGCGTTTACGTCGCAAGTTGGATTGTCTGGATGTTTCGGATTCAAGTAGGGATGCCCCAGTTTGGCTGTGGGATTGCCATAATCAAGGTGGCAACCAATTTTGGTTTTATGATCGTAAAAATAAGTGGTTAGTTCATGGTACGTCTGGTCAAAGGTGTTTGGAGGCAAGGCCAAGCGATCGGCAAATTATTGTAAATAAATGCGATAAAAATAATATGAATATGAAATGGAATTTCGGTGCTGTAAATAATACTGCGCTTGATAGTTTCCACGATAATATACCAAATTCGATAACACGATAACATGATATCAATTTATAATATATAATATTTAATAAAAGTTTTTAAGATCACTTGCCATTTACATATACAAGATAATGTACTGATGTATGTGCAATTCAATATGATTGTTCATGTATTTTTAATCTGTTATATATACAAAAATTATTATGTTTCTATATAAATTAAATTTAAAAGCATTTAAAATTTGTCGTTTACACAAAAAATCAAAATTTTATTCTCCTGTATATATATCTATCATATATAAAGTTTTGTTATAAAACATTTAAATTATAAGTGAACGTAATAAAAACAACGATATTTAACTTAATATTTTTGATTTTCTATTACTTAAAGTGGTATTAAAATTAATATTAGAATATATTATTTAGAAATTATTAGTAGGTGTCCTCTTAAAATTATTAATAGTATAAGTTTAAATGCTAAACCCAGAACATCAGTAGTAGTAGTATTTTTAGTCACGTTCCACAAGAAAAGTTTAGGTGGATTTATATGCTCCCATTAAAGTGATTTACAAAGGGAATAACAACTTAAATTAACTATTCTGGGTACTCGAGTAATATCGTTTTTATTATAATATTGGAAGAAATTTAACATATGATCATGGAAACTGTCGAGTCGATTGTCGATTGCTCAAGAGCTAAAGATTGCACAAAAAACCGTTTGGTTCCATTTAAAGAAGGTTGGATACAAAAAGAAACTCGATGTATGGGTGTCACACGAGTTAACGCAAAAAAACCCAATTGCATGAATCGAATTTCAATCGACTCATTTCTGTGTCGGTTGGTGATTGGTGATGAAAAGTGGATCACTTATGACAACCTCAAACGAAAATGGTCGTTGTCGAATCGCAGTAAGCCGGCTAAAATGGTGGTTCAGCAAGGATTGACGGCCAGGAAACTGCTGTTTTGTTATGTGTTTGGTGAGATTGACAGGTAATCATATACAAGAGCTGCTCCTGTACTGTCCATAACCGGAACAGAACGTCTGAAGGAAGCAATCGCCCAGAAACGGCTGCTTCAGGCAATAGGAGGGGAATTGTGTTCCAATGCTAGAATACACATCGATAATGACTCGCCGAAACCTCTGAGAGCTTAATTGGGAAGTTCTTATGCCATCATCGTATAGTCCAGACTTGGTATCTAGTGATTATCATCTGTTCCAACTCATGGCGAATGATGGACGATTTTTCTGGTCAAAAATTTGCTTTAAGAGAGGCTTGCGAAAATCAACTGTCTCAATTTTTTGCCAATAAGGACGAGGACTTGTATGAGAAAGGCATAATGAAAGCACCTTCAAAATGGCAAGTTATTCAAGAAAACGGAGCATATTTAACCTCAATCGAATCATTCTAACTATGGGAAATATTTCTTCAATTTCATGGAAAAGTATTGGATTTTTTTTTACTACACCTATTATTAAATATAATTTTTTATTAGAAGACACTTACTAAGACAATTATATATAAGAAATAGCATATTGAACTGAAAGCTTTTTAATTTTAAAAATGTTAAAAGTCTTCAAAAAAATTTAACAAAAAAGGACTTAAAAAAATTTTAAAAAAATTTAAAAATTTAAATTTGTGAATATGTATTGTAATATGATTCACTTCAAATTTCAAACAAATCGGTTAAAATACAGTGAAAATATCAGACGTTAAGTTAAGCGCAGATGCTGTATATCATTCCAAAAACCTTCAAATTTAATATTATTATTTCCTTTATTTGGAAAAATCTCAAAATTTGATAGAATTTTTTTTAAATCTATAATATTGTACATCATAATCGAATATAAACGTCCATATTTCATTAATATGCTATGTTCAAGCACTATTATTTCCGGCTTCGAATAATAAAAATTACTATATAAGGAGCAATGCTCAGTTTATAGGTTGTGATGTATAATTTAGTTTAATATTGATTTATCAAATGTAGGCTGACTTTGCAGTTCCATCATTTGCCCAGCAAATTTTTTTGTATCTTTAACTGAGTAAGAAGTTTTGCTTTAAATATTTGTATTCTGCGCAGATGATTACAGAAACAGCATTCACGGAGTTTAATCAACTCAACTTTTGTGGCTGATTCTATTTCTATAGCCAAAATTTGTATATTTTTCCCATACCTAAAACCCACTTTCAGTGACTTGTGACACCGGTAACTCAGTAGTTAGTATGCCCGTCTTTATGAAATTTCGACGAGTATTGTTTGAATGTTTTAATTCTCAAAAAAGCATTTTATAAGAAAAAGTTTATATGTATGAAAAATGTTTTTGCAAATACTTTTCTTTTATAATTGCCATTTAATCGATCAGTGATATCTTCATAAAACAAAAGTAAGATATTTGTCATCTATACAGTTTAATTTACTTTCTATCGGAGCTCCTTTATTAATATGTCTTTATCCGATAATTACGATTTTATTTTGATTTTATTTTGAATAGTAGTAGGTTAGCTTAGATTATACCGGCGATCCCAGGGGGTCCACTTAGACCCATAGGCCCATTGTGCTACCGTATTATTAAAAACTCAGATGCTAAAACCATCTAGAATCTTTGGTAAAGCTTATGATGCTATTTAAAGGGAAGTCACAAAGTTCGCCAATATCCTCAAAAAAGAAAACCCTTAAATTGTTAATGCGGCACCGCGCGTCTGCTGGACAAAAGCAAAGCAGGTGGGGGCACTTTAACAGTAGTAAATAACAACAATAAAATTATTTATTATTGATTAATTAATTGAATTTTTGGCTGACCTTACAGCTGTTTCAAGTATTGCCAACTACAATATTCTTGATGCATCAGGGTTATGGATCAAAAACGTGAGATAGGATGTTCTGTAATTCAGAATCTTAATCGTTATTTATTTTCAATATTTATAATAGAGCTTTCACGATTCTATTGAGTTTAATTTTTTTTGGTTGTAAGGTTTTCCAAATGTAGCTCTTAAAAGCTTTATTATAGATGAGTGTTGGGCTATTAGTCAGATTTTTTTGATTTGGTAGCTCTTAAACATATCGATAGGTGTTATTTGTTCAAAAAGTTGATAAAGAGCAAACATTTCTAATAGAGCTTGAAATATTATTCGGGTTATTCAATGCTTTGAGCATTTTAATGTTCGAATAAGTTTGTGGTCATGCATTTTAAGGTTTGAATATGTTTCTGCTTGAGCGTTTGGTTTCCACTCTCAGTGAGCTACTAGAACATATGCGAACCAGCAAGAACTGTCCTAACCCACTTGAGGTCAGGATGTAGCCACGTGCTAAACAGTTACTTGTCATACATATAAAAGCGTCAATTTTCTAATAAGTGCCTTAATTGCAGGTTCATATCTTAATGCAAAGACTAACTTAAGTCTAACTGAACTTTATCTCCGTGTCATTGAAGTTACTAGGTTTCTTTGCTTTGAACCAGGTTAGTTTCAATTAAAATGTCTCCTAACCTCAACATGTTTTACAGTATCTTTACCTAACCATGTTATCTGCCATATAGATCTCTAACGGTTACCACAACCATATAATGTCAGAACACTATAAGGCATTCGAGTATGTACTGTAAAGGGTATTTGTATGAAATAAAACCAAAACGTACAGATTAATTGAAGTCAAATTTTCGAACAGTACGAACATTTTCGAACATTTAAATTATTCTATTAAAATGTTCGAATTCGAGTATATTTGAGCCGTTGGAACAAGTATTATTTTAAGTACTATTTTCTAATAATAGTAAGCTGGTTATACTAACATATTTTAATGAAATAAAAACACAAGTCAATTTAAATAATTAAAAATTACATTTTATTATTTAATATTTCCACAACTTCATGTTTTTATATTTGGAAAGTTATAAATAATAATTATCAATTATGCCAATAATTAATAAAATACTTTTATAATAATTATGTTTTTCAATATATTTATATTTATATATATAAATTGTATGTATTTTTTTACCGTTTATAATTTTAATGTAATTTAATGTGTTTACGTATCTGTGCATTATTTCTTTTAAAAAAATAAATATAAAAACAATTTTTTAACTTATTTAAAAATACATTAAAATGCATTCAGCAGTAAAGATAAAAAAGTTTGTCTTCATACATTATAATTTTTAATATAAAAACTAATACAAATAAAAACTATATTTAAAATGCTTTAATTATAGTAAACGAGAGAAAAAAAATTATGAATATATGAAATGATAGGAAATTGAATAAAATTTAACTTTCTTCGTTTCAAAATTAAATTACGATTTCATTAAACTATTTTGATTAAAAACAATGTTATATATAAATTTTTTTTCTTTTAATATATGTGTGAACGATGTTGGATGGAAAAATGTAATATAATTTTGTGTATTTAATAAAAATGTATGCAAAATAAAAACAGCTTTAATATCTTATTATTATTATTAAACAAATCAACTATTATAATTTGTTTAATTTTTTTTTTTTTGTAATAATTTATGCATTTCGACTTAATACTTGCATGGTTTCGAGTCTTTCATTTTTTTATTTAATAAAATTTTTTTTAAATATTTTTTACAGCTCTGCTACTTTAATTTTTCAATTATTTGCAATTTAATTCTCAAATTGTTTTTCTCAAAAATTCTTAACATTTTTTAATTAATCATTTCTTAATACCATACGACAAATTAATATTTTTTTCTTCTTTGCATGCATTTAAGACATTAATTATTATTTAATTTCCTTCACTTATTTCTTAATAACATTAATAATTAAAATAAAATTTATAAAACTAAAAAATGTTTATTTGTTTTGCTTAATGTTTTTCACTTAAAACTACATTTTATTTTTGTCTTCCACCTACATTGTCTTCCACGATTTCTAATATATATATATATATGCATGTATATATATATTTTTTAAATTTATTTTATATTTCAAAAATATTATGTTCAATTATGTTTTTCTCAATATGAATAATATTTTAAATTTTAATATTTGTTTTTTTTTTTAATTTTTATGCTTAAAATATACTTCTTTGTATTCTTAATTTTTTGAATAATTTATGTTTAATATTTTTAATTATCATTTTGAGTTCATGCGAAATAAAACGTATTCATTTTTAATTTCTTAAACTTTTTGTGTATAATTTATCACAAAAAAGAATATAAATTTTTTTTTTTGTTAAATTTAGGGACAAATAATATTTTTATTTTTTATTTACCAATTTTTTTGGTGTTATTTTTTACAATTTTTACAATTTTCAAACTCAAATATAATAATATGAGATATTTTAAATATAAGAAATAAATTTTATTCATCTTCTTACTCAAAATGCGTTAAAAAAATATTTATATTTAATAGTACTATTTGTCAATGAGTAAAAAAAAAGTGTAATACTTTTAAAGCACAGAAAATATAATATAAAAATATATTTTTTTATTAATCAAAACTATATGTACAACTATTTCATAATATAACATTTTTTGTTATTGTTTTACTGTTATAAGGGGACATGTCAGAGTTAGGTAAAGATAGTAGAAATTTATTAAAAATATTTAAAATTAATATATAAAATGAAATACATAAAAAATATATTTATATATATATATAAAAGAATATATATAAAAATATATATACATAAAACATATACATAAGAATTATATATAAAAAAGTATGTATATACAATAACATATATAAAACATACATAAAAAATATACAAAAAAATGTATAAAAAATTAAAAAAAGAAATTTAAGAAAATTATTGAAATATATGTATTAAAATAATTTAATATAATAAATATTATAATAGCTTATATTTTCATAATTATTATTTTTATAGTATTACAGCTTATTATGTTTTTATAATTGTTATTTTTATATAATTATATATAATATATAAATATTAAAAAAATTTTTATAAATATATATATATATATTTTTATTATATTTACTTTTTTATATACGTATTCCAATTTTATTGTATTATTTTTATATATGTTATTTATATAAGGTATTTTTATAAATATTTTGTAATTGTTTATTTTTTTCAAATTTATTAAAATAATTACTTTAGAGGTAATAGTTTTTATTACTTTTGTAGGTATTTATTTGGTGTATATTTCGTCAGTTATATTTTCATATTTATTATTTATATATTATTACAGTTGATTTTTTTTGAATTTATAATTTATATCAATTATATTTAAAAATATTTATTAGCATATATATTTTTTTAAATTTATTATATTTATTTTTCAATAATAATTTAATACTTTTTTTATATATTATATATATATTATAATGATTTTATTATAATAATTTAATAATTTTTTATGTATATATACGTTTAAAATAACGATATCTTTTACATTTTTAAATTTATTCTTTATATTAATTATTTAAGTGAATGTTTTATAACTATATTTTACAATTTTTATCTTTATTATATTAGAAAAATTTATTATATTTTCAAAGTTATTTATTTATCATATTGTATCATATCATATCATATTTATTATTTATCATATTTAGATAGTTTACTGTAATTCCATATTAATATTATGTATAAATATTTATTTATATTAATTAATTATATAAATATTATATAGCTATATTAATATAATATTAATTATAAGTATATTATTATAATAAATTACTATAATTATAACATTCTGTTTCAAATAACTTATTACAGTCAATTTATTTTATTTTTATGTGTTTATTTTTTATATTTCTTGTTTAACTTGATTTTTCATTATTGTTTGTGTCGATATTTAATTTATTTTGTAATATGAGTTAAGAAATTGAGTTAAAATATTTGAACTTATTTAGTTTGCTGTTGTAAAATATGAAAAATAATTTTATAAAAAATAAGCGTTTAAAGACAAGTAATTTTAACTAAAATAAAATTCATCGGAAAATAATTTTGTAGAAAAAATTACGTTTTAAAAAAAGTTTTATATAAAATATTTTAATATTTTAAAATTTTAAGAGTCAATTAACAAATTCTTCTTACTCATATGTAGGATAAATAATTAAATGGAAAAACGCCACAGTTAATAGTATTTTTATTTTTCACTTAGTTCAATATTGTATTCAAATATATTGAAATAAAAGTCATAAAAGTTTTAAAAAAAATTTCATCTAAAATATTTAAATATATTAAAATTTAATAGTTAATTTAAGAATTTTTTTTAATATTTAAGATTTTTATAATAAAATGAAACTTGTATATATTATTTTTTATAAACAATTAATATATATTATTAATTAAAATGAAAAAAAAGTTAGTGTTTTTATTTTCCAATTAGTTTAATAATGTATTCAAATTATTATTTATAACAGTTTAAAAAAATAATTTAGCTATTTTCGCATAATTTTTTTTTGTTTAAAAAAATTTAATAAAATCGAATAATAAATAATAATATTATTAAAATGCGTACATGATCCCCTTATAGGAAGCAAGTAAATTTTAACTGGAAATGTTATATTATATATATATATAAATTTTATGTTAATCCTGAAACTAGAATTTTGGCTTAACGAACTCAATTTTTTTTTTCTAAATGTTTATATGCAAATGAGTATATTTTTAATATATATTTACGAATTTATATATATATTTGCTTGAAATTGTAACTAACTTTGTGTGCTATAAGATGCTTGGCTGTTTGCTTCATATTTCATATTTCATAAAATGTTTTTATAGTTTTGTTAAAATAGTGAAAATATGTATATGTAAGTATGGTAAATAAATTATTTATGTATAATACATATATGTGTGTGATGCATATTGTATTGAGTAAAAATTTACCAACTATTTGTGTAATCAAGTTTAATCAAATTTAGTTCGTTTAAAAAACATTTGTTTTGCATTTTTGTACTTTTGGCAATGATCTTTTCAAACAGTATTTTTTTATTTTTGCTTTTGTTTTTATTTTTATTTTATTGAAATATTTTAGTTATTATTCTTTTTCTGTTAGTTTTTATAAACTTTATAAATTTAGTTCACTCACTTTTGCAGTAAAATGTAGTTTTGTATTTTAAACAAAATATATATTTTATTATTTTATTAACTGATAGCTATTGTATGTAGTTCTGTTTCTGTTTCTGCTTCGGTTTTGAATTATTTGTGTAAATTCTTTTTGTTTTTGTTTTGTTTTATTTTTTTAAAGCAATTTTATTTATTTTATATGTGTAAATTTATATATAAACGTAAATTTAAACTAAAAAATTATTTATTATGTTATACTTATTTTTTTTTTGTTTTTGTTTCGTAGTAGTTGTGTATTTTATGAGTTATTTTATATTTGTAAGTCAAAAAGTCTGTAAAATAAAAATAAAATTAACTTAATTTAATTTTTGTTCTTGCATTTTTTTTTTTTTTAGCTGCAAAATTCTTTTTAAATGCTTAAAATATTTAAGTAAAAAATGTTTTTTTAGGTTTTCGTGTCTTTTTTTTCTTCTTGTTTTTGAGTAAAAATGTAATTATTTCTTAACGCATTTGTATGAGTTTGATTTGATGAAAAATGTAATGGCGTTTTCGCTAAAAACTTTTCTAAATGTGCAATTTTGTTGTGCTTCAATAACAAAATGGCGACAGCTAAGCTTCATTTTATAATGACATTAAATATGGCACTCACTTAAGTCTAACAAATAAAATGAATAAATTTTAAAATAATACAAAAAATTTTCAGTCAAGTCGAAAAATTCACATACATAAAACGAGAGTTAATAGAAATTATTTAATACAGAAAAAAAACATAAAAACAATTTATAATCACATATTCGTTGAGCAAACTACCACCCTTCCAGGCAGCTTCAGCGACATTTGCTTCCGCTTTAATTCTTAAGCTTACTTTCATTTAAGCTTGCATTTGTTGCTGATGATGAATGTGTTGCTGTTGTTGTTGGTGTTGGTGTAGTATTGGTTGCTGCATGAGCTGTTGTTGCTGTTGTTGTTGCTGCTGCTGCTGTTGCTGTGGATGTTGTATTTGTTGCTGCTGCTGCTGTTGTTGTTGTTGTTGCTGCTGCTGTTGCTGCTGCTGTTGTTGTTGTTGTGCTGATGTGGACGTTGGACTACTGTTGCCCTCCTGATATGGACCCGTAACCACACATGGATGCATAGGAAACAGGGTTGTCCACGAAGTTGTTGTTAGTGTTGGTGCACGGAGGGCAACTTTCTCGTTTTTTGGCTGCTCATTAGAATTTGTGTTCGAATTGGAGTTTTTTTTTGCTGCTTCTCTTCTCTTTTTACTTGCTGTACTGCCGCCATTTTTATTTTCACTTTGATTATTATTATTTGTTGCATTATTCATATTATTACCATTGTTACCATTGTTTGCTTCTTTCTTGATGGCAACAACATTTTGATTTGGTGTTGTGCTGGCATTGGCAATTTCTTCTTCTTCTTCATCACCTTCAGCGTCTAATAACTCTTTCTTAATTTTTTCTTTTTCCTCTTTGGCTTTATTATCGAGGTCCGTATTGATCTTTTTGACACGCATTTTTTCTTCCCATTCATCGATACCGTGATGAGTTCGATTTAGATTTCGGTGCTGATAAAAGATTAATGTCATTCGCGTGGGTTGATGTCGGTTAGGACGTCGTACTGCTGTGGTGGCATGCATTTCATGTTTGGCACATTCAATAAGCACGCTACCGTGATTAAGCGCTATAGCCACACCACCCATTTGTGGATCCTGAAATGCTTCCAAATTGTCATTGATTTCAGTTACCTCCCCAATGGGTTCGATTTTATTGGAATTATTCGTAGCGGCTGCAGGGGATTCTGTTGTTGTCGTATTGGTATTGACTGCTGTTGTTACTGATATTGTCGAATTGTTCGAATTGTTCGTATTGTCAATAGTTGTCGGTACAGTAACAGCTGTTGGACTAATTATATTAGCAACAGGAGTAGTATTTGGTTGTAATGGTGCTGTTGCATTGTTATTAACAGCAGTGTTATTAAGATCTGTTATTGGGTTTTGGATTGGTACTAAAGTTGCTTGAGGCGCTGGTGGCATTGGCGCAGTGGTATTGTTTAGTATTGGTGTAGGAAGCGTAGGTTTTATATTTCCATTAATGATCGGTGTTTGCGGATGTGCTGTAGGTGCGAGTGTTGTTTGTTGATGTGGCATATTGTTGGGTTGCAATGCTGTCGGTGTAAAAGCACCAGTTGCCGCAGTTGGAGTCTGATGATGTCCGTACATATTCCAATTTGGAGATGGTGGTGGTGGTGTTGGCGGTGGCGTTTGTTGTGGATACATGCTGTATGGCGAATAGGCCTGATGATATCCATAGTTGTAGTTCATATTCTGATATGCATCGTACGCCGTATATGCAGAATGGGGTGGTGGATACATTTGATAGTTATTAGGATATTGCGTGTACTGATAGTCAGTTGGAGGCTTTGGTTTGACGAAGCCTTCTTCAAGTGGGTTAGCATGATGAGGATGATGATGGTGTTGAGTTAGATTACTCATGGGTGTTAATGGAGTGAGTGTAGTTAGTTTACTTTCAGCTAAATTGTTGTTTACCAGTGTAGTTGAATCGGGGTTTTCTTCACTGCCGCGGCTTTTAACTTCTCCACGCACATCATGTACTTGCGTTAGCTGCTGACTACCTGCTGTTGGTAGATTATTATAGGGTGTACCATAGCCACCATTGGCATCATGATGCGGTGTTAAAGGTGCAGGAGTATGGTGTGTATGATGACCAGTTGGTGTTGTAGGTGTCATTGGAGCAGCAGGAGCTGCATTTGGTACACCAGTTGGTGTCATACCTACAACATGAGGAGTATGAGGTGGAGGCCAGTTTCCGTAATAGTTACGTGAGTCTATATAGGAACCAGTTTGATAGTCGTACGAATAAGGAGAATCAAGTACCGTACTAGAAATTTGATTCGATTGTAGTTGTGCATCTGTGAATGTATCAATCATAGTCGCCATATTCATAAGACTGGAATTGGATGACATAAGCTGATTTGGATTGCCTCCTTGTGCACTACCCGCAGATGAATTCGAGTGGTTATTATTTACTGGTGGTGTTGTAAATGCACTTCCAGCCGGACTAGGATTATTCGTTACTGGTGTCTGACAACGAGGTGAGGGAGTTGTAGGTGGCACCGCTGATGATGGTGTTGTTGCTCCTGTTGGAGTTGTAGCATTAGATTTACTTTTAGACTTCGATTTGCTGCTTCCAGATTCCTTTTTAACTACTGCTGGTGGAGTATTTGATACAGCAGTTGCTTGTGGAGTACTAACTGGTGTTGTAGCAGCACCTGTGTCATTTTCTGTGGTAGCAGGCTCATCCTCTTTACGTTTCTTACCATGTCGTCGACATGGTATTAGTGGTGTTGAACGCACACGTACTTCACATGGATATCTAAAAAAAATCGCAAACATATTTTAAGGTTTAAAATTTATACAATATGGAAACTTCAAAAGTTTCCAATTAAAACTCAACACTACACTCACTTCTCCAGCACTTGTACAGCTCCGATACGATGTTTTTCTCGTTGCCCTTCTACGCTTTCAAATTCATCAGTCGAGTCTATCGTGTATAATGGCAATACATGAAATTGTTCATCATCTGGTGGTCTACTATCACGATTACAGGGCTTAAGTAGAGCCACATGAACGGTACATCCATCTTGCATATTGTGCAGATCTCTATGAGCATGCGCACAAAAATCTAAACAGGCTGTAACACCTGAAAACGGTCGGCCAGGTTCTAAACCAAGTCGACAGTCTGGTGCTTCCTTTTCGTATTTTGTTTGATTGTCATAGGAACGTGGACATACTTGCTTGAAAAGAGGTGCCAATACTGTGGCTAGTAAGTTCATATGATCTTCAATTGCAGATTCCTCACTTTTAACTGAGAGGCGGAACTTGCGTACCGTTTTAGAACGTGCGTATTTGCAACCATTATAATACATGGACCAAGAACAACCAAAGCTATAGGAGGCACCAGATGTTTCGGGATCAAGACCTGAAAATTATACGTTTTGCTTGTGAGTTAGCGCAATAGGAAGAAAAATAAATTGAAATACCTTGACAAGCACAGGTGCGGTTTTCATTCGTGGCGCACCGCCTTGTTGTTGGAAGTCCAAATTTGTTTAATTTCGGTATTAAGTTTTTGTAGGCATTATCAGCTTCCATTCTCGGCATGCCATCCCAAGCAACCATACAAACAACAATAAATGCTGCCAAGCACCTGAATTGAAAAAACTTATAATGGACACGTTTAACAAAATAAAAACTTAACTTACCTATGGCCAGGACGTTTCTTAACAACAACCAATATTTTCTCTTCAGGATCTGCACGCCTAATAACCCATTTGGCCACCGGACAACCTTGATTTGTTTTACCTTCTTTGCCAGTATAAACAATTTTTTCAATACGCAGTTGCCGACCAGATATTTGACATCGATCCTCAAGTTCTTTGCGTAGTTCCGCAAGTGTTGAGGCAGTTCCTATGAAAAAATCGTTTTACTACTTCATTAAAAAATTAAAAAGCATGACTTACCTAGATGCGTATAGTATGTGCCAGGTTCTGGTGGATTTTTATCTGATTGAAAACAATCACATTCTGGAATCTCGGTCTTATTACCTTTCTCTAACCTATCAGTTGTATCGAAAATTGGATTTATTTTTTCATGTTTGACTACAATTTCATTATTTTCTTCTTGCTTTACTCCCTTTTTCTTGGGTTTAGCACCATTGGCATTAGCATTTTGTTCGTCTTCTTCATCAATTATTTCATCTTTTGTTTGAATGCCAGTACAAGACCCATCTTTTAGATGTTCAGTAGTTGGTGCTAGCGTTCCACCTTGTCGACAACATGAAAAACCAGAACTATCTTTGATAGCTGCAGGACCGCCTTCACCTAGGAAGGGATATGTACCACTTTGATTAAGCATTCCCATGTCTTCAATTTTTGGTTCAATTAAGCCAGAAGCAAGATGTGATGGCATATGACCCAGTGGATACCTATGTGGAGGTATTGGATAAGCATGAGCTGGTATATCTTTTTCATAATTGGTAGGAAGTGGTATGATGCTGTTAGTGTCAGGCTTTCGATCTATATCCATCATATGATTATTTAATTGTGATAAACCAGTCGCACTGGGTGATTTCGGGTGCCCACCGTTAGTGGACTTTGTAAGCGTACTGGAGTGTTGGGATTGTATATTTGGTGTGGAGTATGCTCCAGCTGAATTAGAGTGCTGGTATCCAGGAACAAAGTTTTGCTGATAGTTTTGTTGGAAACTGGTCGACCCACTATAATATGCTGCATTGTGATGATAGCCTGCATACTCTGACTGGTTTTGATGTTGTTGCTGAATATGCTGAGTTGGTCCACCAGACTGACCTTGAACTTCGTTTTGACAAAAATCTGCATATTGTATGAAATTCTGATAGTTGCGTTCATACCCTTCCATCTTATTTGGTTGTGGTGGCACGAGTCCTGGTTCAGTTTTTATATACTGTGCTTGGTAGTCTGGATGTGGTGGATACTGTGATGAGGGATAGTTCATCTTATCCATGTTTTTCGTATTAGCGACATGTGCTGAATGCAATCCACCGCCTGGGTCATTACTGTTTTTCTCTATATCCGTTTGTTCAGTATTAGTATTACGGCTGCTTTTACTTCTACGACTTGGTTTTTTGGTTGGTGTCTCTGTATGAGTATTATTATTCGAATTATTGGTTGCTGTATGTTGCTGTGATTGAAGAGTCTGTTGATGATGTTGATCCGAATTTTGAAAACCAGTTGCCACGGGCTTCTTAAAGGAATTCACGTGGTGTGGCTTCCAAATTTGGTCGCCACCACCTCCGATTGGTTCTGGTGCTAGTGTTGCGGTTGGCGCCATTCCCACAGTATTCGATGCTTGCATATTCTGTATTTGCTGATGTTGTTGCTGTTGATTCTGTTGATGTGGATGTGTTGGTGCACGAGTTTGTTGAGCTACACTAGTACCATTCGAACCATTCGAGTTCATTACTGAATCGTTTCGGAGATGGTGGCTATACGATAAAAAATGACCGGTCTGTTGCTGTTGCTGCTGCTGTGCACCGTTACCATTCGCACTCAGAGGTGGAGGAGGTACCTGCATAAGAATATCAGGTGGTGCTGCACCAGAAAGTGAATCTTTAGGATCATTTTTACGTAAAATCATAGATTTAATGCGCGTATTAAGATTAACACGCTCACCTTGTTGGTAGTCAGCGCCAGGAGTTTGCTGCTGCTGCTGCTGCTGCTGCTGGGTATTCCAATTCCAGTCTTGTTGCATCTGCTGTTGCTGTTGTTGTGGTGGTGAAGCGATATGATTCTGCGTCTGCTGTTGCTGCAATGGATTATGATGTGGTGATTGTGGTATATTGGAATTATACTGCGTTTGTTGTTGTTGTTGCTGAGCTTGTAAATTACCATTTGGTGATTGCGGTATATGATTGGGCGATTGAGAGACATGACGCGCCTGTTGTTGCTGCTGTTGCTGTTGATGTTGCTGCATGAGATTTCTTGTTGGAGATTGTGGCACACTTTGAGCATTTGGTGGTTGCATTGGTGAAGCTTGTGGTAGAGCCACCGAATTATTATTAGCATTTGCTGCTGACTGCCCGCCATTGACTGTTGCAAGTGAGTTAGCAACAGCATTTGGTGTAACAGCAGTTGAAGCTGTTGAGTTGTGATTTGATGTTTGATGTTGTTGTTGTTGTTGAGTACCGCTATAGTCGCCTGAATACCCGTTACAATTGAGTGAGCGCGGCGGTACGCTGCTCACCCGCGGATATCCAGGCGTGTCGTTTCCCGACATCGTCTTATTCAAGTCACTGCCAACGCCCAAATGTTGTTGTTGCTGTAAACCCACGGAAGGTGGTGCAGGAGCAGTTGACACTTGACCGGCATATGTAACAGCAGCCGGTGCAAAACCAACGCCCTGCAGACCTACTTGATTGATGGGTGCACTTGATAACTGTTGGCTCTGAAAGTCATAACGTTGTACGGGTGCGCCATATGGAGAACGGCCATAATTTGGATCAAATCCGAGGCCAGTCTGCACATATCCATTTGATGGGTAGGCATATGATTGTGTTTGGAAATCTAACGAGTTGAGCGATGTTATGGCAGGCGTATTCTGTGGTATTTGCTGTATGAATTGATTTTGCCAACCCTGCGATGGATCTGTTTGCCAAGTCGGATAGAAGGCCATTGGAGCCTGCAAAGGGAAAAATAATAATGTTTATTAAATAAATTAATCTATAAATTAAATGAAGTTAATGTTTGCTTTTTGTTTTTATAAATTTATGCAAATATCGAGTTAGGCAATTTAAATTTTATGTTTTGTGAAACTTTTTCAATTATGCGAAACAAGTTTAATTTATCTAAATTATAAATTTTATTTAATGTAAATTGTCTGGCGTTGCTTTTCGGGTTTATTGGATTGTAAACAAGTAGCGAAGCCGAAACCAAAACCAAAACACTCACCCAAACTGAAGAGCGGCACAAAATTTGCAATTTAAATAACTTTTGCGAATGTAAAACGAAATTTATGCGAGGAATTAATTTGAATTTTCAAAATACGATAAATACGATAAATACGAAAAGTACGAAAAATACGAAAAATACGATTTTCAAACGTTATCGAGAAAAATCTTAATTGGAAATAATTTTCGAAAGCAAAGCAAATTTTAAACCGAAATTAAATTCTTTTTTGAATAAATATTTCCAAAATAACAACCATCGTTGGGCACAGTTAACTCTCGTACATGCGAGTATCAGATATTCTCTAAAATACTTCTGCTGGCATATGAAGATACATAATCACACATATGTCAGATACATTTAGCAGTGTCTGCTGCGTTTGTGTGAAAGTTATGCATATGTTTGGAACATAAATTATAATTTTTTATGCTACTTACGAACATTAAAAAGCACATATTTATGGCACATATATATTAAATATTTATTTATAATTACGAATTTATGCATAAAAGTGTTCCTTTACCCCTCCCCGCACGGCACAATCTTTACAAGCGACACACTCGGGAAGATATAAATTTTTATAACAAATACCGAAAATTAAAACATGTGCACGTTTATCAAAAATTTTAAACCTGAGGAAGGGTGAGTTGGCGAGTCGAGTCGAGTCGAGTCGGGTTTTATTATAAATTTCGATTAGGTTTTTGTCTTTGTGCATTTGAGAGTACTTGTATTTGTTTCATTTAAACTTGAAACTTATGTACAAATCCGTAGATAGGTGTACTGGGGCATGGAAAACTTTAATGTGCTATGGGTGGGTGAACATGGGGGTTGATAAGAGGGATAGATATGCACGGCGCAAAATTACAATATATTGGAATTTGAATAATGTGCAAAATGTGTTCTTGGCAGGGGAATGAAGTATAAGTTTTAATAATATTAAAAATGTTTTCGTGTCTTTTAAAACGTTTCCGGCTAAAATGGATACGAAATCTAGAATATCAATATTTACTTTTCTCTATTTATTTCATATTTCAGAAAAATTTCAATAAATGAAATCATATATTTTTAATATAATAGCGAATTGTTGAATATTGATATCTAAAATTTACATATACATTGAACATGTTAACACTAACGTAACTGTCAACACTATAAATTGGAATATTATATATTAATACGGATATGTACGAGTATTATTAATAACAGATAGCCCATGCATTGCCGAATTATAAGTCTAATATAATAGCTCTACAAGACAAAAGCATACATAAGAAAGTATGACATATATGACAGCTGTCACTTAAAGCACTACAACTTTGGTAGTCTTCTCAAGTAGTCAAAAAATATCGTCTACTATTATCGGCTTTAACGCAATCAACGAAAGGTTATATTATCTTCGTGTGCCCAGTAAATTTATGAACATAAATCTCATTAACATTCATAGACATATGGACAAATCTTTTGAGGATGAATAAGAAGGCCCTTTAATAAATTTTTAATAGTAAGAAAAGATCGACAATAAATTAGTTGAGCTTACATGCCCAGTTAATTACGTAAAAATCTCATTGGAAACTTGATTAGCTTAATATCAATAATGAAAAGAGTCTCTGTCTAGAAAAATGAGAAGAAAACGCTAAAACTTTGAGCTTTTTGTATATTATGCTGCTATTTTGGGGAATTTCACCCAAAATTAAACTCGAAATGATCGTGTTAGTAGTTTAATATTTTCATTATGTAAATTTTATATAAATATGTATACTGAGCAGATTTATCATCGTTCATAAGATATTTATACGATGAAATATAAATATATGTGACATTTATATTCAAATCATATATATATGGTATATTATATAAATAGCATATATTAAAAGGTTCTATTTTTGAAAGAAAACCCACAGAAGTATTCGGTATTTGTTCTTGTAGCAATTATTATTTATGTTATTCTTTGTTTTGTTAAATATGTGATCAATCTTTTCATTGGAGACTAACAAAAACTTTTCAAATCCTAAAATTAATATGCCACAATAATATAAAATAAATATTATTTTATATTTATATAAAATATTTCAATATTTTAATTGTATTACTTATAATTGCCTCTTTATGAGATATATGGATAAAGAAATATATAATATATTCAAATTGACTTTGTGAGATATTATATTTATTAAATCTTATAATTTAACTGAAACAAGAGAAATTCATAATAAATACCGGAAACTATATAATAAATAAATACAATGTATATATAAAATATATAAAATAACTACTAAATAAAGCTAAACATTTTTTTTTTGAAGAATATTGCGAATTTCAAATATTATTAAAAAACTAACAAAAAGTCAATCAAGTTTTATTGTGAAACTTTTTTCTGTTCTTCTCTGTTTTATTCTACATTTTTTTCTAAATTCTTATTTATGCTTCACTATTTAATCTAATTTGTTCTTTTCTATTATATTCGATTGTGCTCTATTCTATTCTGCTCAAGTCTATTTTATTCCACTCTATTCTATTCTAATTTTTTTTATTTTACGCTATTCTATTTTACTTAATTCCATTTTATTCTATTATATTCTACTTTATTCAATTCTGCCCTGTTCTATTATATTTTTTTTTGCTTTGCTCTATTTTATTTTCTTCTACTCTATCTAATATACTCCATTCTAATATACTCTATTTTATTCTACTCTATTCTATTCTACTCTATTTTATTCTACTGTATTATATTGTTTCTATTTTACTGTATTCTATTCTACTCTATTATATTGTACTCTATTCTATTCTACTGTATTTTATTTTACTCTATTTTCTAGTCTATTCCTATTCTGCTTTACTTTATTTAATTCTACACTAGCCTACTCTATTCTTCTGTATTCTATGCGACATTATTTTATTTCACTTTTTTTGAATTTGCTTTATTCTATATCACCTTATTTGGTTCTATTCTTTTCTATTCATATTAATCTGCCAAAGTTTGTATGGAAGAAAGTCATTGAATGTATTGTATTTTTTTTTTAGTTGCAATTAATTTACGTTTACATTAAGAGTTGCGTTTTCAACTATTTATTCTTCTACTAATTTAATTCTTTTATTTAAAAAAAAAGTAATTTTTGTTTAGTATTTATTCATTTCGGGGGCGTCTTGCGTTTAACTAAGCTGAAGATAATTACACTCACAACAAACACTTAGTAGTTATTCAGTTTGTGTGTTTCGGAAGTTCGAAACTTTTCTATCTTAATGATATTTTAAATACCAAACATTTACATAACTTTACTATGTACTTTGTAAGTAAAAACATAGATAAAAAATATTAATAAAACAATGTGCATTTATTTGTTGAAATGTAATTAAATTGTCACAATTACGGTTCATCAAACAAAATGTTAGAAAAATATAAATGCATGTATAAATTACATATCAAAATTGCGCCTAAATGTATGCTTTAATACGGCATATTAGTATATCGGCAATGATTTAAATGAATTTGTGTGTAAACTGCCTGCCATATGATGCGTTTCAACGTAAATAAAAGTAGTAAAACAACCACTATTTAAAGAAAGCAAAAAAAAAACTAGTAACGAAAGTGAAACTTGTACTAACCCCCAACCCTTTCACATAACAATATAATGTGTATTCGTAATAAAATAAAAGTACACACATGATAACATAATATGTGCTCAAATACAGTTCCCAACATAAATAAACTACTCATTTACATTTTTTGGTTTTTTTCAAACAATGCAATAAAAAGAAGTACAATACTCATATGTTAGGTATTGTATAGTATATATATTGCCAACCAGAAGTGTGAAAATATCCCCCGCATAACATACGTCATACGGTCATATGTATGATTGTACGTATTCATACAATTCAACAACTCATAAAGGTTTGCAGTCGTTCAATGCAGTGAACGACTGCATTGATTTCAATTTTCACACATGTACGAAATTTACTATTTTTGCATGCATTCCATTGCATTGTGAATTGTTTTGTTAAATTTTGAAATTAACAGATACACAAATAATATATTTTTACTTCAATAATAACAATTTTGAATAATTTTCATTGATAAAATTTTTTAAAAATTTTATGAATGAAACTTTTGCTCTCCAATCAACACCATTTGCAGTCAGTCAGTCGTCTGTTTGGTGTGGTGTATTTATTGTTAAATTAGTTTCTTATTGTTGTTGTTGCTGTGTCGTTGTTGTTTTATAATTTTTGTTTGCGTCTCTTATTGCGCACTGTACGTACCATCGTACGTACACTGCACTGTGCTTTGTGCACATAAACTTGTCAACAGTTTTAAATTTGTATTCAGTGTCGATGAGTAATTTCTGCTGTCAACATTTGTACACGTGATGGGCATCATATCAATATGTGTGTGGAGTAGACGATACTTATCAATTGCTGCCGGTATCGTTGCTAATGTGGTTCTGTTTGTTGTTGTTGTTGTTGTTGCTGAGTATGTAATGTTAGTGTACTACGACGGGTACATATAATTTGTTGCTATTTGAAATTAATTGATTAAACTAATTATAAATAAAATAAACTGACTAAGCGAAATCGTATTTTATTTGTACTTCTTTCGTTAAATCGATTAAAGATAATGAAGTTTTATGACTCCATATTCCGAAGTTTAAAATTGGGCGAATTTGAACAATGATTTTCAAATTTTAAATGTTCTACATGTAATAAAAAATGTTATAATTTTTCATTTTACTATTATTA